AAAAAAAAAAAAAAAAAAAAAGATATTGACAAATGGCCTCCATGCCGAAGAAAAAATTGGCAAGTCTAATGAGTGTACCTACTGCTGAAGAAAAGGGGGCACTTATCATTCCTTGCACTATAGAATCAACTTTCTTCAGTTTGCTTAAAGTAGTGCTGCTGAACAGAAAAGGGCACTTGTCATTCCGTGCACTACCCAATTAAAGTTGGTCAGAGCGCTTATAAAAAAATGCCGCTGGACAGGCAGGGGCACTGGTCATTCCATGCAGTAGGGCATTGACCTTCTTTGGATGACGTACCGTACATAAGAAGAATCGTGTTGTCTTTGTTAGAACAATTTTGAAGTGTTGCCTCCCAAGCAAATGTCACCCTTTCCGCACAACTTTTGATTCAGCAACCCAAGATTAGCCAGAAATGACAGCTCTGAAGGACGCAGGTTTCAGTGTCCTGACACTAGTGCTGAACCAATGAGCCTCTTCATTAGCTTGATGAAGATCAATTTTGCTGCTTCGATTAAAGAGTTGAACCGGAAGGTCTTGGAGCCAGTACTGAGCACCTGGTAGTCGGTGACGTACACGATCAAGCAATTTGAGAATCATGTTCACGAATAGAAAAACCAATTTATTGAAAAGTGGGTGAGAAAAAAGGGTAGGAGCTGCTTACCTGACTGGTTATGACAGAACTTAGATGGTCGGCAATCCAAGGATGAAAAGTTCAGTGGACAACGCGATACCGGGCACGATTGGCTGAAACTGAGAATGAATACGACGAGGAAGAACACAACCGATTATATTGACCGAACGTTTTAAGAGACCCGTGAACTCCGACGCGAGTTACTGTGAAGAGACGATGATTTTATAAAGCTAACACTTTATTACTTTACCGAATTTCAATCCGACGACGAAACGAAAAAATGACAGCATGAGTTTTGTTGTTATTTTCGTAAACAAATTTTGGCGGGAATTTTCAGGAATCACCGTTGCTTAACGACGAATGAACATCATTCATCACTTGACCTAACCTCAAAGCGCCAAGTTTATCGTTTACATGAAACGACAAGTTCGGTTTTGCCGGAACCGAGTCGAAAGTTTTAAAAAAGTTTACGATCTGGATCGAATTGCAAAGTTTTAATGTAAGTGTGCAGTTTCTAATTAATTTTCCAGAACAGCATGCTTTGGGACTCGGTTTTATGACGCTGTGTATCACAGTTTCATGTTCCTCTCGCTTGCTGCTTCCTACGCGACAAATTTATTAAATTGTTCTGATTTCCTCATTCTCTCCTGGGTTCCTACGTCTTTTAAATATTGGCGTTTTTATTGTAAGCGAGAATCTACTGAATCATCGTAGCGAAAGTTTAACTGGACCATTACTTTTTCCATCAGGTAAAGAACTACTCATCAACATAGCAATAAGTAGGGCTTTTTTTTCATCTGTGGAATATATCAACGGTGCAAGTCGGCAATCACATAACTCGGTTTGCGACGTCGCAGAGTTCCTGTCATACTTTATTTTTTAAATGGAAAAGTACTGAACGGCAATTCTTTAAAACTGTCATGATTTTTCTTCTCAATGCAAAGAAAATTCTGCAAAAACTTCAAGAAATAATGTCAATTTGCTCTCCTTTAAAAAAATGTCATAGAGGCGGAGATTTTCAGACACCGCAAACGAGTTATGTGATTGCCGACTTTCACCGTCGATATGGAATGCGACGGACTGGTATCTTTACAGTTCTGGCTGGTTCAACTGGCGCAACCACGACCCCAACCTACTTTGCAAGAGTGGTCCAAGCGTTCCAATGCGCCAATGGAACAGGATAAAAAAGTGATGTGTACCGTACCGATCCTGTGCTTTTCGGATAGAAAGGAAGCCCTAATGTTATGATGAACAGGAATCTTTTGCATTGTGATAAAGTTCTTAATCACAATCAGATCATTACATGAAATATGTAGGATAAACTTCTCATTCAATCATGAGAATTTTGGTTTGAAACTAGGAACTGATTAAACTTCTTCTATCTTAAAATTGTCTTCTTACTCATTCTTTCTATTTTGCTCTTTTCTTAGACAACTGCTTTGCTCTAACCACATGTCAGGATTCAATCAGAACCCAGGTATGGGCGGAAAGAACCCACCCTGGGCCCGCTCTACCTCAAATAATGGTAAGTTCACCGTACATTTTCTTCCCTGAATTGATATAAATAACCAAATCCCTGATAATTCTTAATCCCTACTAATGCAGGTCTTCCCTTATTCAAGCCCTTCATTCAAGTCAAAGTAGCACTTACCATTTAAACAATTAATTGTTCTTGAACCTAGGTGACTAGTACAGAAATATTGAAGGTGATTCGTCAAGGTTGCTGACATTTTCAAACTGGTGTGCGATGTAGCGCATCGATTATGTCAAAAATCTCTGCAGTATTTGAATTCTCAGCTTAAACAAGGACATAACCCCCCGCATGAGCCTCAAGAATCATATTAAACTAAATAATCGGCAAAATCTAGAGAAATGAATTCTGAGTCCTGTCCAGAGGAAAATCTTGCATTCAATACAGTTATGGATTTCTGTATTGTATGCGAGGAATTTTTCTAACCAGGGTTCTGCTTTCCTTTCCATATACCTATTTTGCCAATTTTTTGGTTCAGAATGATTCTTTTGTCTCATGCACAGGGGCTTTTGTCCTTGTTATGGATGGAAATTCAAAATCTGAAGAGGTTTTTTAAATCATTGATGCAATATTTTGCACGCCAGTTCGATTGTGCCAGTAACTGTAACATATCACCTAATACCTCTTCTTGCTTGCAGCATATAAGTAGAAAATAAATCAAATTTTAAGTATAATTTGTCACTTTCTGGCCAATTCTTAGTGATGACAGCTTCAAATTTAAGCTGAAAGCTAATGTGTTTCTTGCTTTAACCACCTCACTTTAATTATTTTGCAGTAGCAACGAATGCAATAAATTCGGCAGCTCTTTCTCTCTACCAGCATATTGCACAGGCATCTTTACAACTGCAAGCAGGTTTGCAAAACAATCAACTAGGATATCCCCAGTTTTCTGGAGGTGCTCAAGTTAATCAAGACTCTAACCAATCTACGGTAAGTGAAACTATTTTTCTGCCGAGCTCAGGAAAACCGCTGTATGAATTTTTAGGCAATGCCAAATTTCCCTCAATAAAATACGAGTTTTAAAGGAAACCTGCGAATATTTCTCCTCCAATTTTTCAGATGATTTTATTCACAGTTTAATCTACAGTGTTTGAAAATTTAAAGGATAAATATTCATTAAAATGAATGTTTTTGGCGGGAGATTTGCCAATATCTGAATGTTCCTACAGCATTTCCCCTAGCATGGCAGCATTACCGCCACTATAAATTTTTTGATTCTACTGGGGGAGCTAGGGCTATTTTTCACAACATAGGGACAAAATAAAGCTGGTCCAGAGGCAGGAAAAAACCTGAATCCATCCCTGATCATACTCTCCTTTTTTAGCGAAGATTTTCCTGTCTCCTAGCTGAAACCTACAAGGGAATTAAGACCTCTATAGTTTCCGGCTAACCAACAATACTGCCTAATTGACAATTTCGGCTGAAATGAACTAGCAGCTTTGCCACCTTCTACAGTTTAAAATACGCAAGCTGATGATCTTAGTTTTTTTTCCAATTCTGCAGGGAAGCGCTGTGATGATGCAGTAATGTATGAAAAAATTGCAAATCTAACCTTAAAATTACAAAAATGAAAAAGATTTCTTTTCGCTCTGCAAAATCGTTAGTTTGCAGATAGGCGATATTGTTTGTTAGCCATCGATATGCTTCACTTATTGCAGAATTTTTCCTTGACTTAAATAATCCACTAACCTACCTTTGCTATTTTCCCGTCAGGCTGTGGGTGCGTTTAATCCCTTGAATCTGGTCAGATATCCAACCCCAGCAACCAGTGCCTACCAGTCGACAGGATCAAACACATCAAATGCCGCAACCCGTTCTCAGCCAGTTCAAGGAAATCAAAATACATCCAACACATCACAAAAGGCGCAGAACAGAGTTTTCACAGGGACTGTCACCCGCAAGCAGGATAACTTTGGATTCATCGATGATGATGTTTTCTTCCGCTCAACGTAGGTGTTACAAGTTTTCCATTCACTAGATTTTACAAACAATTCACAGGAAATGCAAGTTTAGCTTCGATGAGACACATTAGACATTTTTTAAATTTGTAAGCTTATAATTATGTAGACAGAGGGTTGGTCATTTTGCCAGCATGTGTTTGAATTTAGTCTTAAAACTGGACTGAGTTTAACAGAAAGGAACCAAGCCACATCAGCTGTTGCCAAATTTAACTGGGCAATTTAATTTTTTACGAGAGATCGTTTGAGCGGATTCCTTTGAAATTTTCAAGGAATTTGCTTCAAACTAAGGAGAATTTTAATTGAAATTTGAACGATAATCTGCACAACCGTTTTCATGAAAAAAAAATAACTCGCCCGATTAAATTTGGCAATAGCTGATGTGGCTTGGTTCCTTTCTGTTTAACGCGGTCCAACTGATGCCTCATTAGAGAGAGAGAAAAAGCTTATCTGAGCACAATTTTCCCTTTGATAAATATCGATGATGAAATTGCATAAATGCTTATCTCGATTAAGGTATTTGAAAATCTCCGCTCCTATTTTATTTTCTGAATGAAGGTCCCAACATCATGGCTTAAAATTTTTACTTAACACTCCTCACGTAGAGAAGAAGAATCTCCAAAATCTTCCACAAATGACGTGAAGTTGTCTTCCACGTAAAAAATTAAGTGTGACAGGAAGTCTGCGACACCGCAAACAGATGAACTATGTATTTCTCCTGTTTCACCATGAATGTGGTGTTTAGAGCAACACTAGTCACGGCCAATTAGGAAAGCAACTGCTGATGCATTGCAGGTCTAGTTGGACTGCTCAGTTTCAACTGCGCTTAGTTGAAAGTTTTTAGTTAATTGTTTATTTTGTTTCAACAAACAGTTCAAGCTGGAAATAAAATTTTCAGTCTCAGATTTTTCAAAAATTTCTGTTAGAATGTAAATACTCCTAAAAATTCAGAACTTGCCAGTTTGCGTAATACCTGAAGTGACTTACCTTCTCTTGGTACTTTTTATCCGATTCTTTCCATGTATTCCTCATTTTTTCTTTGAATTAAGAGCAGTAATTTTCATTCCCATTTTCTTAGAATCTCCAATATTTATAACCAGAGCCCATTCACTTATAAAGTCATTTTATCAGTCACTCATGCCTCAGTGCATTCTCTCTCACTGATCCTAAAGTAGAAACTTTTAAATCTTGGTATTTTATAGGGCTGTTCAAGGTAGAGATCCATCCGTCGGTGATACAGTTTTGGTAGAGGCATCGTACAATGATGCCATGCCATTCAAGTGGAATGCTACTAGAGTGCAGGCCATCAACTCAGGACGAAGTGGGCACACAAGATTCAGTGATGCAGCACCGGCCTATAATTCCTCAGGTACCGTAACAGCTTTATGATCAACAGAGTTCTTAGCATGCTGAAAAACGCAGGAAATTGAGGTTAAAGAATAACCAGGGGTGCAGAAACATCCACGGGTTCCCCCAAAATAAATTTAGGTTCCCTCATTTTAAGCTTTTGCAGAATTTTGCCTGACACATAAAGTAACACGGTCGACAGTTGGGTTCTCTCAAAACAGCGCGGTCAATAGGTTGGTTCCCCCAAAAGCAGCGCGCTTGACAGTTAGGCTCCCTCAAAGTAGCGCACTCAACAGTCAAGTTCCCCTAAAAAAAAAAAAAAAAACCTCCCAAGGTTCCCCCAATTTTTTCGTCCTCTTATGGGTTCACCCATTTTACACTAACAGCCGGTCACGTGGTTGGAAAGTTTCTGCACCCGTGGGAAAAACATAAAAATTAGATTCTTCATAAAAATGCATAGAAATAAAATAAATTGCGTAGTCAAAGTGTGATATCACAAGGAATTTGAGAAAATCCCTGTAAATAAGGCGAATTTTGGCTTTTTGCAGTAGTAGCAAGGGATGGTTTAAAGATTTTGTTGCCTGAGTGGTTTTATTGTTGAATGGGTCTCTATACAAGGTATAAATTAAACCTCCACGCAACATAATTTCTCTTCAATATTTCACAAGAAAAACGAATCTAACTACAGGAAGTCTAGAAATCAACTCCTCAACAAGATATAATTTAATAATTAACATTGTTTGGATGGCAAAAAAACGGATGACATCATTTGTGTAATTTAACTTCATTTTGATCTGTGATCAAAGTTCTTGTTAATATCTCGTTCACAAAGCAATTGCCGAACTCTCTGCTCAATGCATTGGTTTTTACATAAAGCTGGGTAGAGACATCGTGTGTCCATTATTCTAATTCAGGCCTTGTCTACTGGTCCGTTATGTCTCTTCTGTCCGCCTGCTAACACAAGGAAAGATAAAGAGTTCAAAGAAAGAATTTTTTTAGAATGCGTTGCAAAACACTCCCAAGTTAGAATAAAGTACTAAAATAATAGTTAACTTTATTTTTTTACTGTAATAGACAACATAATAAGGTATATCAGGCAAGGTAAGATTTTTTTTTAGGCTATATCATGAAGTTCATGATGATCTACTTGCCTTTTAGCGCTTCAAACAGATGTTTCTTCCTTTGTCCTCATGAGTTTCTCCTCTTCTTTTCAGCTTCTAATATGAATTATTCTGAGTCTCGAAACCAAGACTCTAGAGGAAGAGACAGACGCAGCCGTGATGGAGTCGTTGTTAACCGTCGAAATGATGACAGGCGTTCTGACAACTATGTTCAATCCAGAGATGCTGACCAAAGAACGTAAGTCTCGTATGATTGGTTTTTATTTCAAAGAACGTAAGGTTGAGCAGATTTTAGTGAGTGTGAATGCATTTTCTACCAACTGAGTCAGAACTAAAACATCCTCTATATTTGTAACTTATTAGTACAATTCGAACTCCTGAAACTCCTTTATTAATACAGTTGTAATAATATTATTTAATTATCTCTGCCCTCCTCCCCTGCCGCTGTTCGTGTAGAAGACTACAGTTTTGCTTTAGTTTTAAAGAGCAATTACATAAAAAAGATTTTCATTTTTCATATAATCTATTTCAACCCTGAAAAAATTATTCAATTTGTTTACATGAAATCCATGGTGATTGAAACCATTGGTTGACACTACTCATGCCATTTGAAGGATATAGTCAGAGAGAAATGTTTCATCCAGCTTCCTAACCATTTTCTTATGTTGGAACCATTTTCTTATGTTGGAACCTTTTTCAGGGTGGCAAGCGTTAGGGAAAACTGAGAAAAATCAGGGAATTTTGAACAACTGGGAAAAGTCAGGGAATTTTTGCGTATGAGCAATGGGGTTGTTGCATGGGTGAGGGATTTGAGAATAAAAACTATGTGGTCATAGAACTTTTCGCGATAAAAAAGACGGTAACGTTCAAAAAGTCAAAAATCAAGTCCTTAAGCCCGAAAAAGCCCGTCAAAGTTCCATCAAATTCAAGTTGGAAATAGACGATTTTCATTGGCTGCAGTACAGTTGGTCAAACTACGCGGGAGTCTCTCCTCGCCGCCATTACCCACATCTTGACCACGTGTTTATCTAGTGGAGGCAAGGTTGGGTTAAGTTCATCTCGAGCTTCGATTGGCTACGATGATGAGCGGACGCTGCCGGAAAAACCCGAGCAGGGCCGGCTGCTACGCTCTGCCCTCCGCTCACCGCCAAACAGCTCCTTCGCTCCGTGAAGAAAACGGGAAAGGAGCGATTTTTAACTCACTTTTCGGCCCAGAAATCGTCGTGAAGAGCCAAAAACCCAGTCTGTAATTGACTCATCTTATCCTCAGGTATCCATCAATATAAAAAATGAGTTTAGTCGGAAAACTCGATTTTTCCTGATTTTTTAAAAAAACTCATATTAGCACGCAGTTTAGATAGCAAAAACCCGAGGCCATGCGTTGTGGCGTCTGAGTCACGTGATTTTGAGGCGCGGGAAGGAACCCCGTTTCAAATCGTTTCTTAACTTTTGACGCTTTTTCTCCATGTTCCAATCATCTGAAAATTTTTAAAAAAATACCTTAACAATCAGCACACCACCAACTTCTAGAAACTGAATTTAAAAAAATGCATGCAACAACCCCATTGCATATCGTGATGAGGGATACCGTTCTAGGCCGCGATCATTCTACAACAGTGTGAAGATAAGCCGTTTCCGTCCAATTCTGCTTGTTACCGTGGATTCAGCGCGCCCGACCTCCCCTTGTTGTCTCTCTTTGTCTAATTTACTTAATTTGTCCCAAATTTAATCATGTATTTTCGTCCTAGTATGTATTTTTACTCATACTGATTAATATTAATTTTTGATCTGAACCTCTAACTCAATTTGTTCCTTTTGAATTTAATAAATGTTAGGAATTTCGTTTGAACTCAGTATGACTGTCCCATTTTTCTTTCCACTATACGCAAAGCAATTTTCCCTATTTAAGGAAATTAATTACTTTTCAGACCAAAGTTTACTTCCACGATTCCTGAATTCCTTCTTTATTTTAAACGACTAAAGGGGAATAATTTAATATTTGCCTTTTCTTCCTTCATCATTCAGCCTTAAAGCCTTCACAGGAATAGACTCAGTTGGCTTTGAATTTTGAATTGATTCACTCATTTTACTCTAATTTGCAGTGATTATGAAATGGTTGCCTCCTTTTTATGGAAGCCGATCAAGATTTGTATTTCATGCTCAACTGCAATCACTTACGAAAAAAAACCTTTTCGAAACACTAAATGCATTCAGCAAACAAATACTGTTTTCCGTGAAAAAAATGTGTTTGATTTGATGGTTTGCGATAATTATCAAAGGTCAGGGAATTCCATCGGCAAGTCAGGGAAAAGTCAGGGAATTTTGAAATAGAATTTGACTTGCTACCCTGCTTTTTCGAACTTTTTAAGTTTATGAGCATGTTTCTTGCTCAGTTTGCTGCTCAGTCTTGCTCAGATGTGGCTAATATTTAGGCAAATTCAGAACCATTCAGTCACCTTGACCAAAATTTCCTGAGCTATGTAAAAGTTTTGTTGACTATTGTTTCTGCATAACTGCGATCGAATATTTTCGTTGTATTTATAGTGAACTCTTTTTATCCCTTTTAGGCGTGACAATCGACGTTCAAGGCATTCGCCCCCTGAGAAAGAAAAATCCAATCGGGATGCAAGAGATCGCTCGCGAGATAAGGACCGTTCTAGGCGCTCTCCTGTTTTTAGCCGATCAAAAACTGCACCTCGGTACCAAGTCCAAGTTCCTAGAATATCCCTGGACATGTAAGTATATGCAAATCATTTGATTTATTTAAAAACAATTGTAGCCATGATGTTCCACTCTCACAGATTGAATTTTTCAGAACCTAGTTTTAAATGGTTTAACCGTGTTAGCTTTTGTAACACTACAGAGGCTCTTTTGTGGGGGAGGGGTTGCATATTTGTAAATAAAGCCGTGATTGCCTTTGCAATAAAGGATCTAGATACTAAAGCAATGGAGCACGCACAGCTCCTGAGTTGCAAAAGCATATTTTGTGATTAAGCCCATCCTGAAAGCAATCTATGGTGCAGATGTTGAAAACTATTTTATCTAAAAAAGAGAAACATAAAAAACTCGGTGCCCTATTAAATCGAGGAATTACTCTGTAGGATCCCAGATTTTGGTAGTGCCAGCTACAAATGTGCATTAGACAGTTGCGGTGGGCCTTTATCGGTGGAATTTTGACGAACTTGTTCATATTTGGTAAAACCTATTATCAGGTCTACCTTATGAGCCTCCTTACTAGGTAAAACCTCCCATTTCCAGTGTGCCAACTTCTCGTCTCCTAAAATATTAAAACCTCAATCAGTAAGACCTTCAAAAAGGGCAAGTTTTTTTTTTCAGTCAATGAGAGGATTCGGAAATTTTGAAGTCAGGGAATCAAAAAATGAAGAAAAGAAAGAAGTAATATAGAACTTATAAATTGAATCATCCAAAAGACTTTTGTTGTGGCCTTTCCCCCCCTATCATTCTGTTTTGAACCGTTCCGAAACCATAACTTCGTTTCTTTTCAGGCAAGATGTGGATGTCATGGAACTGCACCGACGCTATCCTAACATGTACATCCCTTCGGACTTCTATCTAGGAGAATATCGCTGGGTCGATCAGTTCCCGCCTCTCAGTCCTTTTGAACTCGACCACCCCTGCAACTTCCATATCATGAAAAAAGATGTTAGTCCAGTACATAAAATTGACGCGGTTTTGGAGCCTCCCGATCTTGACTACCTCTACTGCGCAAAGGTGGGTTTTCTTTCTTGAGTACATACCGCTCTCCAAACTTTTTTTTCATTTTTTTTTACTTTAACATAACATATGGCCTTGAAGATTACCCAGGTCCTGAAATATATTTGTCGCAGGCCAGTAGTCAAATCAGGCATTCTATAGAATGCCCAGGTAAATAGTCTAATATTTTCACCCAGATCAACATTAAAAATCTCTAACTGAATTTTGACGATTTAATACCTCTGAAATGTAGATAAGAATTCTCAGTCAAATTTTTAACCAGTCTAAGCCCTTTTAACAATTTCTAGGTCGCATATGAACAATCATTTGGAAATATTGCAGTGTTTCATGAAATACGAAATACTTACAATTTTAAATTCCAAAATTTCTCAGGAATCCATTAAATGATGAAATTTGATAAAAATTCGCAGTTTGAACAAGGCTTTTGTTCAAAATATTAAATAATTGAAAACCTTGTGTCAAAAACACAATTTCATTATTCTGAAATATTTGACCAACTGCCTAAACGTTTGTTAAAATGTTAGTTTGATTATTTGCCTGGGATACATTCATTAAATAAAAAAGTTTTTGTTTACATAGGTGTTACAGTGAAACTTATCTTGCTCATATATTTAGCATTCAACACACGCAAAATTTGATGTGTTGGTAATTTACTTTTTCTTATTTTCTAGGTAATGTTGATCAGTATGCCAAGCATGGAGGAAATATTCCGAAAGTGCATTGTCCCAACCGAGGATTTGGAGAAAGATGAATATCCAAGCGTTGCTCATGCATCCCGTCAACTGAACTTCCTTGTTGGCAATAAAGGTAAAAACGAAGCCATGGCAATTGGTGGCCCATGGAGCCCCTCGTTAGATGGCCAAAACCCAGATAAGGATCCATCAGTATTAATCAGAACTGCCATCAGAACGTGCAAAGCGTTGACTGGAATTGATCTCTCCAACTGCACTCAGTGGTAAGTATCCTGTTAATTTCTCCTTGTTGGATCCTGAACTCCTACCCTTTTTCTCCCATTGCCTTTTTTCAGTATGTGTGTTAGTGTGTTCTCTGTGTGACAGGCAGAGGGTGCGTGTGTGTGTGTGTGCAAATAATGATGGAGCAGCTTACGGAACAACTTTGGCAGTGCATTTGAGGTTAAACAAAGGCTAAATAAACTGCTAAAAATACTTTCTTCAAAGCTTGTTTAAAAAATCATGCGTGCCATTCTACTCGAGTTGATGGATGCATGATCATACATACATACATGAAGCCGCTTTTATAGCGCCGCCTCGCGCTCTGCGACGCCCAATCGCCATTGCCCCCATCATCATGCATGATCATCGTGCAGTAAAAAGAATATTATTTTTTCAGCTAGCAGTCAGTAGCTGTTATTGAAACCGGTCCACAGACATTCACCATTGATTAAAACTTAATTTTTCAGGTATCGTTTTGTCGAGATTCACTACCAGCGAGGCGACACAATCCACAAAGGCAAGCATATTCCTGCTCGTACGGAAACCGTGGTTTTGTTTCTGCCGGATGTTTGGTCCTGCATTCCAACACAGCTGGAATGGGACAAAATTAGAAGTGACTATAAGAAGTTTGTTGAAAAATCTGTAGAGCCTGAAAAAGCGGCACCTGCAGTTTCCAAGGTCAGCCCTGCTCCAGAGGTCAAGCAGCCATCCTCTCCCAAAACGCCAGACGATGAAAAGGCAACCAGATTTAATTTAACTCTTGCTTTTTTGTTTTTCAGGATTATTTTCCTGTAGCAAGAATAATCCAGTTTTTGCTGGTCCTTCAAATGGAAGCTCTCCAAGGAACAAGACAAACGACATTTTGTTTCTGCCAGAACTCATTCCAATGGCTTGTTTTCAGTTTGATAATTTTTCCTTTGCAGGTTTCAATGTTCTGTTGGTTTTCTAGTCTTAGGAACCATGCTCATCTAATGTTTGGCTGCAAAGAAATCCTAGTTACAAGCAAGTTTAAGGTGTCTCAACAGAAAGCTCCCGAGAATACCTCCTGCATTTTTAGCTGATGGCGACTGATGATCAATTGTTCTAGTAAATTATATTGACCTCTTGCTGGTTTTGCAGGCTCAGTTTTCAAATCTATGCTGAGTCAATCTGTTGTGAATTTTGATGTTGGTGGAATGAATTAATCCTTAAAAATCGCTCAACCTTTGATGGCTTTTCCCTCCCTATTTTAATTATTTTCTCCATGGCCAATTTAACATACTTTGATTTTAGTTTTTTTTCGAGTAAGAAGTTTGAAATGGCTGATTGTGTAAATAGTTAGCAATGTACCAATAACCAATCTCACATTTACGGAATTTTTTCAACAAATTGTGCGTAAATTTCGATTCAGGAAACGTATTCCGCGTTGCTTCAATCCTTCCCCTATGTTGAAGTTCATTTATAAAGACGGCTACTGTACGGAAAAAAAAATTAAAAAAAAAAAAAAAAAATTACCACGTCTGCAACTGTAGATTTTCCAACATTTCGGAGTGCCTAATTTTGATCTTGATTTTCAGGAAACAGACCAGAGCATGGAAGTCGATTCTGGGACTCCAGCAGAAAAGCAAGACCCCACTCATTATTCTCAGTTAGACCCAAAGAATATGAAGGTATGCATACAAATATTTGCTCTTTGTACCAGTGTTATCTAAGTAATGCTTCTCATAGTATTATTCGCCACTAGGGGCTCCCCCGCAGCTTTACGCAGCCCAACCTGTGACGACTGCTCCGTGCCCTCAGAGGGCCTCTCCACACCAAAAATAACTTCAATTATTTCACTCACTAATTTACTGACGGCCAATAAATTCCAGGAATTTACCCTGTAGATATTCAGGTAAAACCTAACGATAAACTAATCAGACTAGAAACAAGGCTATTTGAGAAGTCAAGGAGTTTAACACGCCGCCTACCGTACTAGTAGTTTTGACCAGGATGTGGTCACTCGCCTTCAACGCTCCCTTGCATTCTGCATTACTGCACGTATGCAAACTCATCTTTTTAACATTAAGTAAATTTGGTGAAATCTTGCATCCTGGTCAGGGTGTCTGCAGGTCTGGAAAACCGGGAAAAATCAGGGAATTTGATCACTGTCTGGAAAACCGGGAAAAGTCAGGGAATTCGATCAAAAACCGGTGAAAGTCAGGGAATTTTCGCAATTCGAACATTTTGCGGCTATTTTTGCTCGTCACTGCCGAATAGGTCGAGTAGCGCGCTTGCGTGGCAGATAATTTAAACTGCTCTGTTCAACCAGTTTGCAACACGGCCGCTAGGTTCACTAATGTGTGTTCGCTAACTTTAAAGATCGAATCGATCTGCCCTATTTAATTTATCTACTTAATTCATGCCAAATGGCAAGATAGACTAAATAGACTTGAATGAAGTTAACTTGCTAACAGCAGAAAATTACAGTAAATAATGATAGGAAACCAAGTGCCCCAGTTTTGAGCAGATGGTTAATCAATTTTTTCAATAAGTTAGGAAATTTAATGAAAGTGCTAGAATTTTAGTTTTTCTTTAACTGAGTAAAGAAATATTTAATGTCAACTGCATTTTGCATGAAATTTTTCTGGTTCTTAAATCAACATGTTCACAACTGGTGCATCCACCTTGTAGAAATATTATTGGTGGATTATATTCTAACAAGCCAACGCTTGTTGAGTATAAGACAAATTCAATACCAACAATAGGTTCTGGAATCCATTGAATTAATTGACCTTAAAAAAAAATCCCGAATCAAGCAAATTTATTTAAAATTGAGAAGAGACTCGTATTTCCTCCTGATTATAGCAAAATCTACCTGAGTTAGGCACATTTACAACTCTTGTTTTATATTTTAAGAAAAAGAGACTTGTATTTTCAGGGCACTAAGTAATATGCCAATATTTATGAAACCACCAGGGTGAACTACAGTTTGAATTTTCAAAAGTATACAGGGCAATATGTCACAAAGAGAGCGTAGTAGAGCTTAAAAATTAAATTTTAAAGGTGAATTTTAGTCTGAGTATACCATTTTTGAATTAGCTTTATTTTGAGTATTTAGGATCTCGTTCCTTTCAAAAGTATTACTCAACTCCTTCCAACGCCATGGTAATTCAGAATATGACTTTACGAGGTCATTCCTAAGGATAGTTTTTTTTAATATTTTCTAACTAGTTCATCGCATGGCTAAACCCAAAAAGTCAGGGAATTTGGTCATTTTTTGTCATGGATTACCTGGAATTGTCAGGGAATTTCATTTTGAAAATCTTATAGACACCCTGCTGGTGCAAGAATCAAAGCTTAAACTAAGTAATAATGAATTCAGCAGTTCCCGCATCATGACTTCAAAATTCAACAATGATGGTTAAGGTGCGGAACCTTATATCTTCATTGCAGTGTTTCATAATTTTCGCTCCTATTTTATTTTTTTAAAGAGAAACAAGGGAACTTTGATGATGATTTTTTCTCGAAGATGATTTTAACATATCTGAATAGCTAACTATCTTCTCCCAAATTGATTTTCAGGTTCAGCATTTGAAGGATGAACTTGAAGCGCGAAATTTGTCCTCTAAAGGTTTGAAGTCCCAGCTAACTGCTCGCCTTTTGAAAGCTTTAAAAGCTGAAGAAGAGGAGGCCAAGAAGAAAGAAGATGAGGAAAAAGTGACAGAAACTCCGAAAGAAGAAGAGAAGAAAAAGGAATCTGATGTAAGCTGTACTTTAAAATCATAGAATTTTTATTTTATGTATTAAAACAATAAATGAGCTGAAAGCCCATCTCAACTTACAACATTAGAATACAACAAAACAATGTATTGAAAGATAACATCACAACAAATTAATTTTACAATGTAAAGTTTAAAAAATTTCAAACAAATTGATGACAGCTCGAAGTTTGCAGTTCCACTTTAGTTTTGCAAAATACGTAGCCATTCTAAGTTTTAATTTACCTCAAACACAGCTATAAATTAGACTTCATTTATTAATTAGGAACTACAATTTCAGGGTCATTAGTAAGAAGACGCAAAGGCATAGAAAAACACATGGTAGATTCGTAACTTCATAACCGAACCAGAGAGTGTAGTTCCTAATTGTAAAATGAAGTTCAATTGTCTGAATTTAATATACAGTGAGACCTCTATCTATCGTATCACGATTTGACAGATTGCACGATTTGACGGATCAATCTTCTGGTCTTGCAATTTAACGGATCAATTCGTCAGTTTTGTGAAATCCGGTAAATTTAGTTTTTACTCCAACACTTAGAGCCCTCATTGACACATAACTAAATTAAACCACGTGTGATCTATTGGCTCAGCTATTAGGATATTACCGCAAATACTCCAATTCCAATTTTTTGGCCTGACTCAACAAAAAGCCTTCTTTTGAAATGAGCCACTAGACCAGGTCTGAACCAAAAAAAGTCATATGTTTTCTCCTCAAAACCTTACTTAGAAAACTATTTACACAACAAGAAGCTTGTACATTTACCCCTAACAAGACAATGGGTCTGTTGCACTGGTCACAGAATCGTGTTTTGATGCGCGATTCTTGTAGGTTAGCTAAAAACAATAAGATCCGTCCAAACAGCAACTCTCTGCATGCAATGTTGTATGGGATATCGCACTTTGAACAATTCGGTTGATGACTTCATCCACTGCGGTTGTTGCACCCTCGATTTCTTCCACCTTAGTTTCAACCAAGTTTTACGGTGAACAACCAGTGCAAATGTGTATCTCTCCTTGACTGATGAAACTAAGGTGGAAGAAACCAAGGGTGTCACCACTGTGGTGGATGACGTTATAAACCGAATTTTTCAAAGCAGGATATCTCGATTAATGTTGAACGTAGAGAGTTGCTGTTGGACTGACCCTATCATTCATTGCTGATCTACAAGACTTTAGTATCACAGTACAATTCTGTGACCAGCGCAACTGACTCATCAACAAGTATGTATTTTTGACGTAGATCAAATGGAAGTCAGATGATATATAAGACATCATTTATATTTTTTCTTCTTAGTCGATATTCATCATGAACACCTATATGTTGTTTAGGAGTTCATTTTGCGATTCGTTTTTGGCATGAAATTTTGATGAGAAAAGATGTTGCGTAGTGCTTCAATTATTCATACCTTGTCTATCAGTTCATCAAAATCCTTCTTCCCCAGGATGGTCTTATTTTACGAATGGACTGCATTTTGCAATTTGGAACTATAAATTCTGCCTCTTCTGGAAAAACACGTATGTGCTTAGGGAAACTACTGGCACATACGTTATTTTTAAACCGGGCTAGAATTTATAGTTCCAAATTGCAAAATGTAGTCCAAATGATTCTGTGTTTCATGAATTTTATCAGATTTAGGTTACGCTATCAGTTTAGCTTTTACTAATGGAAAAATTATTTTTCTCATTTCAGAGTTGGACTGTGGTGGATAGCTGGAGCTCCGTCGATGACAAATCATCCTCTCGCGGAGATAAGGTTAGAAACTTTGTCTGATTTTTTTGTTTTTGATTTGATTATTTGTTCAAACCCCCATTGAAAGGGTAAATTTACAGATGATTTTTTCTAGAAAAATTAGGGTGAACTTATAAAAGGTACACTGTGATCAATAATGCTCATCACACCGGGAGAAATCAAAGAGGCAAGAATAAATTTTTCCACATCATCTTAAATTTTGATTTCTAGAGGTTTTGTCTTCCTTTCAATGGTGATGTTCACAATAATTGCTTTTAACTTTTAAGTGTTGATTTAATTGCCTTTGTTAGATGTCAGTTCAAGAGTACAGTAATTATTCTCCTCGCAAACTAAATTTTGCGAAAGCAGGTGCACACTTGTATACTGACGGGTTGTATACTGATTACTGAGTTTCTGGTGATCGGGAAAACTTAAAAAGTCAGGAAATTTATGGCAACCTTGAAAAGTCAGAGAATTTTGCAAGCAACGTCCAGCAGAAGTCAGCGTAATTGATAGGAAAAAAATCCAAGTACATAATAATTTTGTTTGAAGCTCAGGAAAAGTGAGGAATTTCAAAAATTTTGGAGTCAAGAAAAAGCAAAATATGTTTAGAAATGGGACCATGAAGAAATTATGGAAACCCTGAAGTAGAAAACACACATCTTGATCACATCTCATCTTATCAAATTTTTTGCTTTTACTTGATTTCTTCAAGATAGAACTAACTAATGATGTTTGATGAATTTTTTAGATAACGAAAAGCAAATGATGCAAATTTTCAGAAGTAAAAGATAATGTGTTTTGCTGCACTAAAGCGTTATCTGAGAAAAACACATGTATTTGCAAATCATGATAATTGTACAATATCATCATTCCTTGGTGAATTGCTCTGAAACCCTTAAGAGTCATTTAAGGCTAATATTTATGTGGCCGTATTATTATTATTTATTTCAGATTTTTTCCAGCCCAAATTATTAACACTAAAGAAAAATCTTATTTATTTTTACCCAGGATGAAGACAAGAAGGACAAAGAAAAACTAAAGGCATCTTTAGAGAAAAAATACTCTCTCCCTGAGTTCCCGCACATGATTGTGTATCCCTCATCAATAGCTAAAAGTGGAAAATTTGACTGCTCCTTAATGTCGCTCTCCTTGTTGCTAGATTATCGGCCAGACGACAATAAGGAACACCTCTTTGAGATATCTCTTTTTGCAGAATTGTTCAATGAGATGCTCATGAGAGATTTTGGATTCTTGATTTATCATGCCTTACTCAGTGCTCCCAACCGAGCTAAAGAAGAAGACAAGAAAAAGAATGAAGAAAAAAAGAGCAGCTCAGTAGAATCTGAGAGAAGAGACAAGGAGAAAGAAAAGGAAAAAGATAATGACACTGAGAAAGATAAAAGTAAAGAGAAGGAAAAAGATAAGGAGAAAGAGAAAGAAAGAGAAAAGGATAAGGAGAGGGAAAGAGACAGGGAAAAAGAGAAAAAGCAAGAGAAAGTCAAGTATCTCACAGCGAACAAAAAATTATTACTAGCATTCAGCTATTTTGACACGAGCGGCTGTGGATACATCATGGAAAAAGACTTAGAAACTTTGCTGTTTTCCCTTAGTCTCAGTCTTTCTCGGTCACAGGTAAATATTGTGATAATTTTTTTATTCTGATAAGTATTTATGCAGCTGAAAGATTTGCATTGCTTGACTTTGATCCGAGTCTAGAATTTTAAACTAATGACAATAATTGTTTTTAAGGCTGTATGTTTGCGTGACAATGGCGACCTGACTTTTAGTGGTTGCCTTCAGTAATGTTATCCCTAACTAAATTGAATTTTGAAAAAATTTGGTCTTGGCGAAAGAGTTTTGGTTTGATTTGCTGTTTTGTCTATGTCCAATAAAGTTCTTCTTCTTTGATTCTCTCAGGTGAAAAAATTATTGAGTAAAGTTGTCAAGCGGGATGTTTTGACGTATCGAAAATTAACGGACAAACCTGTGGATGAAAAGATTGAAGAAAAAGAAGCTGTAATTGATGACAATGATCCTAACCTCATTGAAAAAATTGCCTCTCAGTTAGCCGCAGGTATTTCTTAATTCCGGTATTTTAATAGCTCAAAACCTCAAAGAGGAATTATGTAACCCCAATGAAAAACCTAAAAACTAACTTATGGTTGGTCATAATATGTGTAATCATTCACCCAAAGCAGTAGCGTTAAAGGGGAGGTCATGTAGTACCCTGCATATATTTTGATTGGAATGTTGTCGTAAGTTTCTTCGTCTGAACTTATTGGACCCCTAATTCGCCATTTTTGCGAACAGGTCCTGGAAGCTCCAGAAAAAACTTGTCTGAGCACAGACAAAAAGGGCTGCATGCTGAAGCGGCATAATGACGCCTGCATTGCTTTGTCTCTGTGATAGACTAGCAGTCAAGAGCTTAGTATACTGGCCAACAGGTCCCGGACTCGATCCTCAGTGTCTCATCATAATCAATCATCTATATATGATCTATTGTAATATTATCTATTACATTTATTATTACAGTGGAGTTTTGATCAGCATCATATCTTTAAAATGATAGATCTAGAATACCCTGGCAGTACCCTTGTATGATCAGTAGCCAGGTAGGATTGATTTATTCACTATGCAGAAAGTTCTAAAAGTCTGATTTTTCATTTCCAGGGAAAAAACGCAAGTCATTAATCGTCAGTGATCACTGTTTGAAAAAATCCAGGAGTTCCTCCAAAGAAGAGAGCAATGAAGATGGAGAGTCAGGTATTTCACAAAAGGAAGATTTCATTTTTGTATCAACCTTTTTAAATGAAGCTCAGATGAGATAGAAACTTTTAGTATGCTCAAACTTAATTTATATGTTAATAAATTATGTGATTCTATCTCTTTCTACCCAAACCAGACACAGTGGTTGTGGCTGTAGAGCTCCAAATGAACGCATTGAAGTCAAACGGAAGGTGATAGGTCAAAATGTCCAAAAACAAACGTCCAGAGTAGAAAAAAGTCAAATGTAAGAGGAGTCCATGAGTAAAAAATGTCCAAGCACGTGGAATGTCCAGTAGCGGTACCAAATTGCCAAAATTAAAAATGCCTAAATGTCCGGTTATTCATCTTCCAGCTCGTTGCTAACTGGATCAGAGTGGGCTATTCCCCTAGGATATCGTGGAATGTTGTCTTCATCTTTAAATTCTTGATACCGCTGGATGCGCTTGAGGATTCTGTCCTGATTTGATTATACTCTAATTTGTTCTTGACTTCTTTGAAATTTGTTGCTTAGTGCCTGTATGACCCAAGTCCAGTCACAGATTAGGAAACCTCTAAATCACTGGATTCATTATCCCAATGGATATTGATATAGAAAGCTTCCAGGCTCCTTATGTTGCCTCTTAGTCAAATTATTTCACATTTGGACACTTTTGTTTTTGGCCATAACACCGCTATTCGACATTCCAGATATTTGGACTTTTTTTAGACATGGACTTTTTTGGCTTTGGACATTTATCTTTGGACATTTTGTCCTATTACCAAACGGAACCCTCTATAGCGTGACTTGATTCCTGACCCTTAGATAAATGCATGACAGGACCTGTCAGGTCCCTTGTCACAATGGAAATTGTCCTTTTAGATGTTATATGTCCAAATATTCAATTTAAAATAGATTATATTCATAAAATGAAATGCCTAAGAAATTACAAGGAATGAACTAAGGTGATAAAGTTAGGAGTTCCATCTATTTCCGGTCAAAATGTACAATTCTAACTCGGAATTTTGTGCTCATTTCATTTGCTCTTTTTCATGAACCAATCAAGTTGATGTTATTCCTTGTTGGCCCTTCCGGGCAATCAATTTCAATTTGCTCCAAGACTTAAGAACCGTGAAAAGAATTCTCAATTTTTTTTTTTTTTTTTTTTTTTTTCACTTTGTATTTCGGTACCTTGAAAAATGCTTGCTTGAAATGTGCTTTTATCCATGCCACTCACCACTTACCCACTTTTTATTTCTCTCTCCATAGATTTTATTAATTACAAAGGTTCTCTCATTAACGTCGAAAACATCACTTTGCAACTGAAACGGAGCGAAAATGCTAGACTAGAAACAGAAAATGCACTAACCAAACTGAAAGCCGATTTTGGTAAGTGGTGTACACTCCAATCACTTTTATTCATCTTGTTAGCAACTAAATTAATTTTAATCTGCTCATCCACTGCTATTTTCTCTATCTGTAGAGATGCGTGGACATTCAAAACGAACACATGCACTTATTATTTTACGTCAAAGGCATTTTCTCCAATTCTTGAGTTATTTTTCTTCAAAAGTATGAATGGGGCAGTTTATCCCAGGAAAGATTGTCCCATGTTGAATTTTCGCTCTACATGATTTTAGTCGAAGAAATACGAGGTGCTTTTGCAAATGACAGATACGCTTTTAAATGGAGACACGATAAAAGCAAGATAATGATGTTGTTCAGATCTTTGACATGGCATCACTGATCAGGTTAACTTTGTGCTTTCAAGACTATGTGCTTTTATTGCATGTCCTCAGGAGTAAGCAAATGATGTTTGCACCCCCATATAGTGTACATAAAAACACACGGAAAGGTGTGTTTGTCAAATCTTTATTTCTTGTCAGTCAATGCCACAGTGTTTTGTTTTCATTGGCGGATCCAGGAAGTTGGCAAGATTGTTTTCTCTCCATTTAAACCTATAGAAATCAATCGATTCTCAGAGGGGTTAGGTGCTCTGACAAGAATCGATTACTTAACATAGCATTAAATCGAGGAAACCACTGTGGCCAACCTGCTGGATTCACCTGTGTGTATATTTTTTTATTGGGAATTTTGCGACCATCTTCATCAAGATATTTAAGTACAAGGATTTCGAATTTTCATAAAATCGATGGTCAAAGTGTAAAATCATGTTTCTCCATAGCAATGCTTCAAAATTTCCGCTTTTATTTTATTTTTTTGAAGAGAAACAAGTTTACTTCACAGCTTGAAATTCATGCAGAATATTCTGCCAATAGAGAGGAAAAATCAGAGAATCACATCAAATAATTTTTCATTGAAGAAATAAAGTATGACAGGAAGTCTTCATCGTTGCGAACGGAGATACCTCCGTTGCTTCGCTTTTTTGGCCATTGATATTTATTATCGTTAAAGTCAACTCAATCCCTAAAATGCAAAAGAACGTTTAGTACTTTTAGTTTAAAGGTGATCCGTAGAATCTTGCCAGGCAAAACAATCAAATGTATTTACCATTTAGAACTTTTTTATGTCTTCTCTACACAATGTTATTGAAGGATTAAAATTTCCAGGTGACAGAGAGAAAGATCTGGCAGATTCGAAAGAAAGGGTCAGAGCTCTGCAAGAAGAATGTAAGAAGTTTACTGATCAGCTAGCAGCAGTCACCACGAAGTGCTTATCCTTATCTGTAAGTTCCGTTTCAGCAAAATTTTCATTAATTTATTTTGAACATCATCATTTTTGAAGTGTGTCTAATGAGAATAGTTGCCCTAAAGTAATGATTTGGAAAAATTAAACATTTTTTAGGAAAGTTTACTCATAACAGAAATCAGAGGAGATGGGAAAATTTTACAATTGTAACGCCAAAAAAAAAAAAAAAAAAAAAAAAAATCAAGTGAGCATTATGATCATAACTATAACGTAAGAACACTAATCTTGATCCTTTTGCAACAAAACTGGAAAGCTAAAAACAGCAAAATTGTGACCTAACAAGTTTGTAAAACAAGAGTTTTTAGTACACTGGTGATTGCTTTCCTTTAGAATGGGAGTTTTAAGTTTTTAGAAATTTCATGGTAAAAACTCCTTCAAATATTTTGTACAAGAATGTAGAGGAGTCTTGCTGTGGGCAATTTTATTTTCAAAACTTCGGTATATAACTAAAAAACTGCCTTTGATTCTCAATTCCTTGACTTTATCAGTTTGAGTTTGAGAAGGGTAGTTCAAATTTTTTTTGTTCTATTTAAATTGTAGTTTGGCAAAAATCTTACAAGGTTATTAATGCTAATGTAATGATAATAGTAAGAGATCAAATCGTCATTTTTTCACCATGCCTTTGCCATCAGTAAGGAAATGATTTTAATGATATTATCATCATTACTAGCAAAAATTACTTGCAAAACAAGGGAATGTCCACTTTTCTTTTATTACTTTATTTCTTAAATTTTTCTCACAAAACAACGCAAATTCATATTTTCTGCATCCAAAAGGGCATCCACTTGCCTTTTTACGGTACAAATTGACAGTAAAATGTCGTGAAGACTCTAAAACCTTTAATTAAGGATAATTTAAAAATGTCTTTAATGTGTAGTCATGGCTCTCTATCCTAATAACATTTTTTGTAAAAAAAATCTTTACAGACGGAGAATGAGAAGTTGACAGCTGCTGTTCTACTAGTTCACAACATAACAAAACCATTCATCATACCCCAGGAAGGATTCCTGAGTTCAAATGAAACAGATCTCAACTTAATCGCTGTCAAAGACATCAAAAAAGAAGCAGTAGAAAGCAGTAATTCAGCATGAATCCAGCTAATCTTTGAAAGAGGTTCCTCTTTGGTAGCAATTCAACTCTCGACAGGGTGCTGCAATTCAGCTATTCTTTGCAAAAGTAATCATGGTTTAATTTGATATTTCTAGCTGTATCAAGCACATTGCCATTGTCATGAAGGAAAAATAGGGACTAATGCTGTTTATGATAACACTCGCTGTGAAGCATTTTAGTGTTCCACTTTAATCCATTGTGACCAAACAACTGGTAATGACCTTAAACTTATGTAGGTTGTGTTAACATTCAGTTTTCTTTTATTTAACTCTTCCCAAGGTTAGCTAAACCCGACATCAATTTAATTTTTTAAATTATTTTTTCATTACAATCGGTCAGTTTCAAAATAACTGCAATCGAATTTTGAGAGGAACCTTGAGACTTTGTCTCTCCGGCACAAAGGAAAATATCGCAATTGTGCTGTATCCGTATTTCTTAAGTACATTTTATTTTTTGAAAGGAGAACCATAAAATGAACTTTTCTGAAGTTTCTAGAGATTTTTTTTTACCTTCATCAGAAAAGACTCAGAGATTTTTGGACTAATTTGTGAGATGGTTCTTCCATGAAAAAATAAAGTGTTTGTAGAAGTACTGAAACAGCGCAGACTGGATATGAGTGCGTGAGACATCAACTTAAAGAAAATACAAATTAATATCAGAAGTGAAACATCAAACAAATTTTACCACATTTGTCTTAAGTTTATTAATTTATCAGCCTCAAGGTTGTTGGTCATAATCTTTCTTGAAAATTTCAAAAACTTGTTTCCTCCTCATCAGTTTTTTTCTTTTTTTCTTGTTATTTCAAAAATGGACCGCGTTAAACAGAAAGGAACCAAGCCACATCAGCTATTGCCTAATCTAATCGGGCAATTTAATTTTTTACATGAAAACGGTTGTGCGGATTTTTGCACAAATTTCTATGAATTTTCTCCATAATACAAAGCAAATTCCTTAAAATTTTCAAAGGAATCCGCACAAACGTTCTCTCGTAAAAAATCAAATTCCCCTGTTAAATTTGGCAATAGCTGATGTGGCTTGGTTCCTTTCTGTTTAACGCGGTCCAAATATTCTTGGACAAATCCCACTTGGAAAAATGGAGGAGTCACTCCTTTGCAGTCAATTTAAACTCTGTTGTCATTTTTCAACAATGAGTTTATTTTTAGTGTATTTTCCGAAGAAAATACACTATTTTCCGAAGAAAATACACTATTTTCTTTCTTCTTCATTTTTGCTTTCATCTAATTATCAGCATTTTGATATTTGTTGTTTGTTGAAGGCATGTATTCAGGTTTTATCTGCAGCAGCACTTTTTTATTCTGAGTTAGTGTGGAAAGCTTTTAACAGTCTTTGTAAGAGTCCCTAAATTCAATTGTCATAACAGTCTCACTTGATTTACAACCATCTTGACCACATACACTGAGTGTACTTTAGAGACAGATAGATATTAAGGCGAAAAAACTTCTGTTGTCCCAGCCTCTAAAATATCTAAAACTTCTCTCTAAATAAAATTTGACTAATTTTTACAACCATTTCCCTCATTTATTTCCTAAAACAATTTCTTTCTTTCTTTGGACTCAATTCTGAGTTTTATTATCTTGTTATTGAAGTACAAGATTTATTATTTATTTCATAATTTGTATGACTCTTGCACACACCAGTTGATTTATGTATCTACGCATTCAGTACTTTTTAAAAAAATTATTGAGTTATTATCTTCAACTTAGCTTTTGTAGGTACTTTATGACTGTCAAGGGTTTTTTAATAGGGATTTTGGACTCTGTTTTTTTGTACTCAACTATTAATATTTAAAATATAAGTCTTCCTAATTTCTTCCTGATTGGCATAGATTTGGTCATGTATCATCTTAAGTATCAAATGGTTACAATCCCAGTGTGTAAAAAATTCCTGACTTATAATCTGAGATCTCACTAACAAAATTAAAATCCACAGATACCTATATTTGACCTCGACAATAATTTTTTAAGGGTTAATTCTGACTGATTCTGTGCATTGCATCATTTGATTATAATTTTGTTCCTGAGTTTCGAGCTTTTCACGAAACTTGTTTGAAGTTTTGATCAGTTTAGTTGAGGGTCTCGGAGTACAAGTGGAATAAGAGCAGTTTTTGCTATTTCAAGAAATGAGTGTTTATAGTTTTAGAATGGGTCAGTTGCGCTGGCTACAGAATTGTGTTTTGATGCTTGATTGTTGTGGATGAACTAAAAATAATAAGATCCGTCCAATCTCTCTATGTCCACTATTAACTCAGTTATTTCCCTTTGAAAAAACGAGTTTTTGACGTCATCTACCGTGGTAGGGACACCCTTGGTTTCTTCCACCTTGCTTTAATCCGATTTTCTCATTGAATAACCGGCACAAACGGCTTGAAGTTAGATGTTGTTATTGCAGTAGGTTTATGTACGGAAGAAAGATAAGTTTTTATTGTAATATACTTATTTTTCGTTAGAAATCAAACCCAATTTGTTGTTCAATCATTTTGTCCAAGTATATACTGTTGATAATCGCGCTGAAGTGCTATCTCTTAAAAATTATGTTAATGCCATTATTTGCTAATGGTAGATTTTGGAAAACTCTGAAAAAATTAATCATATAGTTCATTATACTACAGAGGTTATGTGCGATCATTTCATTGAATGAAATAAAGTATCAGAAATGATTCGGTCACAAAAAATTCAACAAGTTGGAGGAATTGATTTGGAATCATTGTCTGAAGGGCCGTTTGTAACTGTAGATACGAATGTTGGCAATATATGAAATATTCAAGGTATAAAGGAAACTTTAAAATATATATTCGGAACTGTCGTAATATACAGGGTGGCCCAGACCTACCGTACCAGGCCTTTTTTCCGGTTAATTTGGGTCGCACGAAGTCCAGGATCGCAGGGATGAATAGGGAATCGACCCCAAGGAATCCGAATTTCATGGTCCCAGAGCCCCCCTGGCGTCCCTTGGGGGGTAAAAGGGGGGTCCGTGCTTCAAAAGTCAGGGTTTATGTGAAAATTTTGAAATTATTTCATCGGAATCAGAACGTACGGAAATTTTTAACTTCAATCGACACCAAGAAATCCAAAATCGGCCCATCCGTGTCCAAAATACCGACCCCTAAAGGTGGGGGACAGAGCCCCCTTTCAATTAAATTCAAGTTCGTCAAATTGACGTGGAGACTCGGAAAAAATGTATATCATAGGTAATCGACCCCAAGGAATCCGAATTTGAGGGTCCCGTTGTCCACAGAGACTTTTCTGATGGGGCACAGGGGTACTCTGAACTTTTAAATTTAACCACTATGGAGGTTACCCCAGGAGCCTTATGCAGGTCCTTATGGAGGTCTGGGTTTAATTTTAATCTATCCTTAGGTATGCTAGGAGTGCCTGGAAAATGTCTCATCAAAATTGTAGGCGTCAAATTTTTTTTATGGACACTTGAAGATTGATGATCCGGAGTAAACTCATCGAAGGAAGAGCCTATCTGATGGGGACTTTTCGGGTAGAAGGAAACTTTTCTACACGACGGTTTTGACATTTTTCGATACGCAGGGATGCAGTAAGTCCCTGGAAAACGTCTCATCAAAATTTTAGGCGTCAAATTTTTTTTATGGACTCTTGAAGTTTGATGATCCGGAGTAAACTCATCGAACGAAGAGCCTATCTGAAGGGGACTTTTCGGGTAGAAGGAAACTTTTCTACACGACGGTTTTAATTTTAATCTATCCTTAGGTATGCTAGGAGTGCCTGGAAAATGTCTCATCAAAATTGTAGGCGTCAAATTTTTTTTATGGACACTTGAAGATTGATGATCCGGAGTAAACTCATCGAACGAAGAGCCTATCTGATGGGGACTTTTCGGGTAGAAGGAGACTATTCTACACGACGGTTTTAATTTTAATCTATCCTCAGGTATGCTAGGAGTGCCTGGAAAATGTCTCATCAAAATTGTAGGCGTCAAATTTTTTTTATGGACTCTTGAAGTTTGATGATCCGGAGTAAACTCATCGAACGAAGAGCCTATCTGATGGGGACTTTTCGCGTAGGAAGAGACGTTCCCCGGGTTTTAAGCTTTTGGTGATTGACGTATTGTTCGTAGAAAATAGTGAGGGTGAAGGTTTAGCGGAAGAAATAGCGGAGAAGAATCGAATAGTTGAGGGGGAGAATGTGAACGAGTGTTGTCGGATGTTATTTACTGTAGGCAGCGTTGCGGTTTCTAGAACTAGTTTAGCGGTACCCTCTTGTTACGCGGGAGGCCCGTGTGTAACTTAACTGAAGTGAGCTACATAGTTACCTACAAAGTTGATGTCCAATGTTTTCGGAACAGATAGTATTCTAAAAGATCCGGAACCATCATAAAACAGCACAATTCGTTCCGGGGTCACTTTTTACCATTAATTTACCCATTTGGATTCCTCTATTATTACGAATCACTGAAATTACCTTTTTTGAGCAAAATGGTGGGTAGGAAATTTTAATTGCCATTTTAAATGCCAAAAAGAAGATTAGACAAGAAATTAGTGAGTACAAGGACAGTCTTAAAAATTCTAAAGAAACAATCACTAAATTCAAGAATGAAATTGGTAAGCTTTAAAATGATAAACCAGCTGAGGCAACTGTAAATAATGAATTATAAAAAATTTATTGTAAATAAAGTTCCTACATTTATATAAACTCAGCTTCCTTAGGATTCTTTTATGTTAATCTTTTCCCCTTAATCATCATAAAGAACAAGGCCTTATTTAAATTCTCTATGGTATTACTGCATTGAAGTGAAATTGAGGGGCTTGGAGGTCAAGGCACATTAGTGCAATTTTTAAAAGTTGAGATATTAACAATTTCAAGTGAAACTGGTCTTGATGCATATTTTGTGAAAAATTCGCTCCCAAATTCCTATTTTTAAACATCAAAAAGTCAGTTTGAACTTTCTTTCTGCCTTGAGGATCCATGAAATTTCGAAACTTCTAACAAGTACATTTTGAAATAGCAAAAACTGCACTAATGTGCCCTGTACTCCAAGCCCCTCATTTGTCATCATCAAAAATGAGTTGATCCCAGGTGGTCAATGGAAACCTCTTAAACTACTTTCTTCGAAACGAGCAGAATTATATTTTGTAATGGACCAGTAAACAAGGCAAAAATTGAAGCGTTCTGATACATGGCTTTTAACCAAAACACGTTAAACACAACTTGCACAAAGGGACTTACTGAAATCAACTCCAAACTAAGATAACAACGTTTTTTAGTTTACATTGGTTACAAGAATTTTGAATTCCCTGCTCACAAGAAAAACAATGGTCTACTTGAATCAAATCACACCTACCACAACAGTTTCGGCAGGCTTCTTAATCAAGCCATGTTCCTTCCTGCCTTGTATTGTTCTAGGTGTTAACTACGTGCAACAGCTGAGCCGAAGATCCAATATCAAGGTTGCCATCTTTTCATACCGCAGAGACTGTTACAGTAACCCTTACTGCGCAATTTGTCTGAACTAGACTTTAATTTTTCCATAAGCGCAAGGTTTGAATTAACGCATCAAAAAATGTTAAACAGATCAATTAGAGTTAGTTTCATCAATTTCTGTTGCGTGAATCGTGTTCTAGGTAAAATTTTTGTTACGACATGTATCAGAATGTGTTAATTTGTACCTTCTAAACTGGTCCATTAGTGGACTTGCGGCAAATTATGGATTTACTGATTTTCAACTTAGCATGGCAGCATACCACTGTGACCGCCCCCTCTTGATCCGCCAATGCTTCAAGTTT